GAAAAAACTTTCATATATCTGATGAAGATAAAGTGGAAACAACTAAAATAAACATTTGAATAAATGTGCAACTGTAAAGATTTAAGGTGGGCTTGGACTACAAGTGGTCCAGCCATAGTCTTTTCGTTGATTTTTAGTCTCTCTGAACACTTTTTGTACAGAAAGATCTTCACTTATTACACAATGCAAAAGTAGTACACGTAATGCACAATATGGTTTATAAAACTTGTTTAATATCTTAATGGACACTACTATATTTCAACAAATTTTGCTCTCATGAAACAGTCAGCAAGGATAAAAAGAAGCCAAGGCACTATAATTTCATAAGTTGTAATTTCAATAAAAAAAATGTAGTCAAGTTCAGCAGTTGGTCATGGGTCTTGCTGAATAGTTTTCAATCCTGTAGAAAATTAGAAATGTATTTGCTCAAATTATCTAAAATTTCTAACCAACAATATGATAGCATCATGTCATAGCATTTTGAATTATGTAGCACACAAACATATTTCTTTATGTAAATGAAAAATTGCTAAGAATATTATTTAGTTCTAAGACATCAGCCAATATCCTAGCATACTTAACTCAAAATTTAATGACTACAATCCTAATAAAGATTTATTTAGTATTTGACAGACATACTGCAGGCCTAGGCCAACACGTCTCATGCCTTCAAATGTATTTTTCATAAGACTTGTCGACTAAAGCGATAAAGATAGGTGCACAAAGCGAGTTGCTTGCTAGTGTTTATGCAAACGTCCTTGAAGACATTTTATAGTCAACTGAAGAATGTCGTGAAAGCCATGAATGTTTTTTTAATTTAAATTGTTATTTAAACATAACAAGAAATTGTTCACGTACATTTACTTCACATTAATGAGGTGTGTATTACATATAACGCATGGTTTTGGCTGCCAGTATTGAAAGACGTCTTCAATCTGAGTACGATATGTTGAAGAAGACATTCGTCCTTATCAAAATCATCTCTGTTAATGCAGCTTTCAACATGTTTACATACGTACTCTACAACCACAAGGCCACCTAGCCTTTGAATAATTGAAAGGAGAGGAGTTTGGGAGGAAGTTTTGAATATTCAAGGTGACCTGATCACAGATCTGCTCAACAAGGAGACAAAAAGAACTGCAGGCCAATTATGTTTAGGATTCAGTGGAAATCTAGTGGCTGTAAACTCATGGATAAAAGCAATTCACATGCACAGCAAGCTACGAGCAACCTTTCCAGAGAAGTCATGTCGAATGCCATATCGAAGCACAAGGATTTTCCAGATGGTAAAAAGCAAGACCTCGAAGATGATGTGAAAAATGTAAGGACCCAGTGTCGAAAATAAAAAAGCCCCCAGGTGTTTAACAACCGGTGTTGAAACAGACAAGGCAGTTGTCGAAGATATTCTAAATAGCCCAACGATGGAAAATACATTGATGACGACTCTCATTAATGAAAGAGTGCAGAGCAAAGTTGAAAGTTTCTTTAACTCAATTAAAAAGTAAAGCTCAACAATGGATTTGAAAAAAAAAGAAATTAAGATAGAATGAAGTATCGATAGTTAAAAGAAGACAAACAAGCGTTTTGGTGTAATTATTACAAAAGCCGTCTGTCTAGAAGAGGCTTTCCAATGGCCAAGAATGTTGTGCGGTTGAAGTCGGTCTTATCAACGACACCAACAAAAAATACGGTGTAAAGGATGACACGCAGCTGAAAAAGGGTGTGTGTGGACATAAATATATGCCAGGAGTTTGTCATTAGCGGAGAAAAAAAGAGGAATTTATACAACTGATTGCTAGACTGACGAGGGGGAAACCAGCAGCTCATAGTAACTCCTGCAGATACAACATATTCGGTTTGTGACGGTGTTTTCAGCATTCTGTACAAATGCAACCATGAAGAGGTGGATACAAAGTTAGTTTTACACGCTTCGCCGGCAAGTGGTGATGTCGTTGTGTTCTAAAGATACTGGCGTTCATATCCTTATGATATGGACCCATCAAAAGCTTAGAATTACGAAGAATTGGTATCTGAAATTTGACCACAGCAAATATTCTGATGATGCGATTTGTAGTTTCTAATGAAGATGAGAATGCTGAAAGCGACAAAGAAGGCAAAAGAAGCAACGTAAGAAAAGTCCGGTGATGTCAACAAACAGTGTCGACATCAGAAATTCGTAACATCAATTCACTGGCAATGCAAGTATGTGTAAAAGCGATTTCGATGAAAAGTCGCTGTTCACTGAAGACGATTAAAAGTAACTAATTTCAGGCAAAATAAGGGGAGAGGAAGAAGACGTTTCAGATTCTAGCCATGATTGAAGTCTTGAGTTCCAGTATGAACTATGGTACAAAGCAGACATCCGAAAACAGGTTAACAATAGAACAGTAAAATACCTCTATCCTTTTGATACACTGAAAGTAAACAATCAGACTGTTAAGAGATAAACAAAATGGATTATTTGGTTATTTGCCAATAGACTGCCAAGTTCGAGAAGACATGATTTGTGGTTACAGATGTAAAAATGTAACGTGAAGATAAATTGAATATTTGATGATACCAAGATTATTTTTAACACTTAAAAATACTTCAATTTCTATTAAAACATGAAAATGAAGAAGAAAATAAAGGTACGTCATGACATTACTTGCCTATGAAATAATGATGACGTCATCGTATTTCTAAACAAAATATATCACTTGTATGAATTTTTGCCCTTTTTTCACATATTACACAATTATGCCATTTTGACATGCCAGACAAAAATATAACTGACTTATAATTTCTTTTGCTAATTGGATGATGTCATCAGTCACGTGAGATACAAGCATTAACATTAACTATAGTTGCAAACGAAACTTTCGATAAAAGTGTTCTAAAAGTTTGCTTCAGCACTTCTTTAGTTTTTCAGAGCATTTTCCCTGTCTAACGATTACAATTTATTCCAACAGAATTCAATGAAGCGGGATATAAATAAATAAATAAAGACCCCAACAACAACGATGGATTTTGTGTAAATCAAAATAAATCACAAGAGCTAACTCTTTAATATACTAACATTTGAATACACCTCGACTAATAAAATTTCACTCTTTAAATTCATGGCCAATTTAGCAGTGTTATATGAACACATTTTGAATCTAAATTTGAGCTTCTTTTAGTTTTGACTAACGCCGTATCCACCACCAGTTTGCAACTGTGACAACACGCTGCAGCATCACATATATGAAAGAGTTTCATGACGGGCTAGTAAATACTTTTTCTCAGCAAAAATGACGGGGTCGATTCAAACATAGCCACTACAACATCAAACATGCTTATTAAAAAGACAAAGGTAGGAGCCAATATCGATCCGGCGTTGCGTGAAAACAACACAAAAAAAACGAAAAACCTAAAGCATCGTATAAGAATAGGATAAAACCTTTGAGCATCGAACACTGAACAGCGCCAAAACGGAGTGAAACTCTACTGTGAATGGGATCTAAGTGTAGATGTCTTATATATATGCATGGTAAACAGTCCTATTTTGGAAATACATTATTCTTTCAACTACAAACTTTGCTGAAAACCTAAACTCGATGCAGTTTACAAAGCAGGAGAATTTGTTTCACAAAAATTTGATGTTTTAAATTTCCGTGTTCTTACGTTTTGTTTACGTGTCCTGTCACGAAGTCGTCGAAGACTCTTTGCTTTTTATCGAAGTTTTATCATTTATATTAAAACTGTTGCGTGTTAATCCATGGGGTTGGATGGACATAACATAAATGTCTATTCATTTGTTATTAGACGTACCTTGTCGACGAAATCTCCACATCAATTTGTCATCGCCAATTTGTGTATAATGACTGTTAAATATAAAAATGAACTTCATTATAAATGTTTCAAAAGGGGTTAAATTTTATTCAAGACAATCTCTTTGAACCATGAATATATTAGAATATTATGACTATCTTCAAACAACTATGAATATATTAGAAAAATTCTGTGTGGACAATTTCTTGAAAAAGCATTTTATGAACATGCTTTTATTGCTAAACGAGAGAATTTATTTTGAGATTTAATGTATATATAACAAAATAAATAAAACAGGAAGCTTATACCTCCCAAATGCATTTATTTTTAGCGATGCAAATCAAGAAATACCAAAATTACCCAATGAAACGGTCAATACCTCGCAAAATTTGATGATCTGACTAATTGATCATGGATTTCAATGTTTTTATATTTAAGAGGTTAACTGCAACTCTGCAACTTTACGATGAAATATTCTTACCTATGACTATAAGAAACTGTAACAAGGAACTGTATTTTGAAATTTATCTTTAGCGTCGCCTTACACAATTATGTATTTGAATTTCCATGTACGGAAATATAAGAACAGTATGAATAAATCCAAACAAAATTATAATTGTTAGAAACCACAACAAACAATCATTGCAAATTTGCATGTTGATAAAACGCAATGTTCATTTATTGCTGCAAGATTTTTGTTTTTAAACAGAATGACTACTCCTATGAATGTTTTTCTTCAAGCAAGCCCATTTGTAAAATAAAGCCATTCAACTTTTCACATATCAAACAGATAAAGAGCATTGTCGAATTTTTTGGTCATGTTTGCTTCCGTGTTTTATTACGCAGCATATTAACTTATGGATGGCCAAATGAACGTTAATTCAACTATATACATGACGCTTCTCATGAATTTTCTGACGTTTGTGGCACTTCGTATCTTGTACGAAAAATTTGGTTATTTTGAAATAGCTTTAATACCTTTTTCTTAACTGAAACAATTAGAATATAATTGATGTTTCGAATGCGAAAAAACCCCACCCCATGGTGTTTTTGTACGGGAAGGCCACTTGCAAAATAAGCCATGCAAATTGTTACATACCGACAGATAAAGAGCTTTGAGGAATTATTGGTCATGTTTGCTTCCGTGTTTTAGAACGTAGCATTTTAATTTATAAATGGCCATATGAACGTTATTTCAACATTACACATGTATGCACCAGACATGACGCTTCTTGTAAACTTTCTGACGTTTGCTTCACTTGTTGTCTTGTTCGATCGCACTGATGGTGTGGAGCAGCTGTATCTATCGCTTGGATTAAAATGCAGCTACAATTACGACGTGGCAGTTAACACCCATTACAAGAAGCCGGATTCTAACTTTAGACTAAACGCTAAGGTTTGATTTTTAAGCATTTTACAACTCTTATGACTATTCTGATATAGGTACCGTGAGTTTTGTGTGGCACATTTCATTCCCTGCATAAAGCAAATGGATCAAGTGATCAAAACTCTCTTTATACACAGGGTAAAATTTTCATGATTAGTTTTTTAGAGAAGTTTTCAGAACAAATTTTTCCTTGAGCAAAGAAAACCAAACTTGATTGAGACTTGCTTATAGGCTCATGAATATTTTTTTGGTTTTAATGTTACGCGTAGCAACATTTGCCCATAAATCCTTTATTTTAGGACGATGTTATAACTTGCTATAGGCAGTAGAACCTATACAAACAGTTTATTTATTTTGAATGTGATTACTTTATTGTTTCCTTGTTTTATATAAATATGGCAATGAACGCATTTATTGTTTATGGACCTTTTAAAGATTGTGGACAAAATTGCATACGTCAAGCAGGAAGCAATGTTCTCTTGCACTTGTCTTGTCAATATACAGTCCTTTAACGTAACATAGTTTCATGTAATGGTGAAAAGTAATTGTGGAAAGTCTTTCTTATTTGCAATATTTTGCATGGTTCAAAAACATTGACTATATAAGCTAGATGGCAAGGCAGCGTTGACCATCACTGCGTCGTATACGATTCAATAACACTATTGTAGGTAAAGCATATTAGATTGATTTAGATTTGAGGACGCGACGTCTAAGACGATTTAAGTTGACCGAGGCGATCTGGGTCGACGACGCCGTCGTCTTTTATTATCTTTTGAATCTAAGAGTGATTTAGATTATATGCGAAGATGACGAGTTTATACGAAAAAAGATATTCACCTTTCAAGCGATTTTACTGAGTTATATGGCATTGTTTCCACAGTCGCTAATAATTCAAGGGATTATGGAGCAAAAACACAACACTTCAATTGAGTATAATAGTTGGTTTGCACAGTTAGAAAAACATAATATATTTTTCTTAACTTACATTCCATTTTTTTTATCTTAGTACTGCTATTTTTCATGGCATTTCAATAAGATTTTCAATAATAAAATTTGAATTGCAGATTGATTTTTTTGATTATATTAAGAATATAGCGTAAATTCTCAATATAGATATAACAGCCCAACATATAATTTTGAACATAGCCATAAGCAATTTGGAGCAACTCTAGTCTTCGATGTCAAGAATTCGACATAGTAGGCGCCATTCAATTCAAAGACAAAGTAAATTACAGCACAATAAGCTTTAATACTAGCATCAGAAAATCCATGTAACATACACTTCACTGGCTTGTCTATTTTTCCATATATACATCTGTTGACAACAATCTCTTGTATTATACTCAAGTCATTTACCCATCCATTCCATATATTACACATATTGTTGTTAATATCACTATCCCAGTCTAACCCTTCCTTACAAATATCCTGGATCAAAATTTTGATTGTTACCACAATTGGACTAACTATTCCTAATGGATCGTAAAGAGTAGCTAAAATACTTAAGATGTTATGCCTAGTCGGCTTGACCCCACTGCCTTTGATGCAATTCGGCCTATTTCAAAATGAAAAGTATCAGAATAAAAATTCCATGGAAGGCCTAGAACCCTTTCGAGTTTCGTCTCATTGTTAGCTCCTAAAGTGCTCTTCGTATTGATTCCTTCATTTCAGTTCTCAACAACCCTGCTTCTTCGATTTCACTCAAAAGAACGTCTTCTTCCAAGTCTTCAACGTCTTCTAAAAGACGCATTATATCACTATCAAGCGACTGGATACCCTGCAGCTGATCTTCTAACGTGATTTTACGGTTCTGTAACAGCTGTTTATCTTCCAGGGCACCGTCCATCAATTGTCGGACTTCAGCAAGGATCCGTTTTACAAACCCGTGATGACCGTTTCGTGTGCGCTGCTTTTTTCTCAGATTTTCCATTTCACAATCTTTTTTCTTTCTTCAATCCAATCAATTCAAAACGATCCGGCTCCAAGGACCACGTGTCGAGGAATCCGTTCCTCAGCTGGTTCACTAACACTCTTCGTTTTGAACTTTTTACTTTACAAGCTAAACAAGCTACAAGTACATCACTGGTATTCTTACGCTATCTATTAGAGTTAATTATTTACATGTTATTTATACTATCGTTAATTACATAAGTCGAGCTTTCCTTTACGTCATTAGCAGTACTCACTCTTTCATTGCGTTTCAAGTTCTCGCGCGTTGAAACAAAAAAGAAGAACTAACTAAACAAACAAAGATCCTAAAAAACGTACTTAAAACAAAGAAATGTTAAAGGGAAACTAACATAGTTACGACAATTTTATTGCTAAGCTAAAAAGAATGCAATATCCCACAATACGTTTTTCTGATTTAAAACATCGTATTATTCCGTATTCGTATGCTTTGATGTATATTTGTAACTTATCGTCATGTTCGTTTGCTATTTGATTTATTGTAGAAGATACTATTCATATACCAACTATTTGACGTTCTGTTATTCTGCTTTACTTTTTTCCTGGAAGACTAATTAGTTGAATTTTGGGACGGTGCTGCAAAGTAAAAAAGCTGCTTCTATAATTGAGGAAGTACAATGTGTAATCTTATTTGTTTATTGCAGTTCCCAATTTTTTTTATTGTCTAAAATAAAATGTAGAAGGTCCAATTGTCTTGTGTTCATGTTAATCTCTTATTGCTAAGAATAAGACATAGAGAATTAAACATAGGCTTGTGCTACTATAAATTTTCTTTGTATAATGTGAAAGCCTCATTAATAAATGCAACTGTTGGACTAAGTTTGAATAAGAAGTTGATTATAACTCATGGCACAACAGTTTTTCCAATTTTTCAGGCCACCATTCAAAAACAGCATATGGCCATAACATTTATTGCTAGAAAAAAGTCTGATATAAGTTTATGCAATAGCATGTGTTGCTTGCTACCTGCAGCACAAATGCCTTGAGTTGCATTCAAGCTCTGTACGGGCCACAGCTGTACAGACCAAAATTTTAGATGCCCAAACAAAGTTGTTTTGCAGTTTGCTATATTTGATATTAGCATTTAACAACACTACAGGGGACTTTGGTGGACTATATGCATAATCTACTTCCATACATAAAGGCGACATAGAAGATATTTTTAGGCACTTTTTCATCGTGAACCAAGAATTTGTCCATTATTTTAGATAAGCTCCACAGTGTTTCAGTTCAATACGCCCGTTGCGACACCTTAACAATTTCTTGAAAAAATTGTGTGTTAGGCTGAGAATTTACTACGCTGTCAAATTCGCCAAACGAGATCTTGTAGCAGCTAAAAGAAAGAACAGAAAATTCATTAAAGTAACACATTTATAATCCATTCAGCGGCATGCACTTGGGAGTCGATCAACGAAGCATTTAGTAAACATAGCTAAACCCCCGAATTTTATAACATTATTACGACAAAAATAAAAAAGAAAACAAACCTTGCTCGTTGCATTTCTAAATATCAAAGCGCCATAAAAGAAACGATGGACGCAAAATCGATTTTTTGATGAGTGTCTTTGATTCCCATAGCAGTTTCTATATCGCGCAAGTAAAGAGGCTTTCTTTCAACATGGCGTCAGAACCGGATGTAATAAATTTTTGGAGACAAAAACTTCAAAGTTTCCGACAAGAGTGGAACTTCTGTGTGATCTCTATTCTGTTGCCATATTCACGTCGTCTTAGACGTCGCGTCCTCAAATCTAAATCTATGTATTTAGACAAGAAGACTTCACCTCTTGCGATATTTTAGTGCAAGCAAGGCCATTTGTGAAAGAGGCCATTCAAATTTTTGCATGTCCAACAGATGAAGAGCTTTTACAAATTTTTAGTCATGTTCGCTTCCGTGTTTTATTGCGCAGCATTTTAACTTATGAATAGACATATGAACGTTAATTCAACTATGTACATGACGTCGACGGCATAACGCTTCTGGTGAACTTCTTCACGTTTATTGCACTAGGTATCTTGTGCAAAAGTTTTTGTTATTTTCAATTTGCATGATAAGCTATTGTAAAAGTGCATTTAGTTTCCTCTTTCAAGTGTTGATGTTTCAGAATGCATCTTTAGACAAGAAGACTCCATTCAAATTTTCACATTTCCAAAAGATAAAGAACTTTAAGGAATTTATGATCATGTTTGCTTCCGTGTTTTATCACGCAGCATTTTAATTCATGAATGGCCATAGGAACGTAAATTAATTCAACATCATACATGCAATAGACATTACGCTTGTAATAAACTTTCTGACGTTTGTCACACTTGGTATATTGTACAAAGATTTTGTTAACCATTTTAATTTTGCGTTAAAAGCTATTTTAATATTGTATCTACTTTCTTCGTAAGCGAATTTAGACAGGAAGACTCCACCCCCACGATTGTTTTGATCAAGCAAACGCCATTTATACAATAGATTTATACAATAGGCCATTCAAATTTTCGTATAATAACATAGAAAGGACTTCGGAATTTTTGGTCATGTTTGCTTCCGTGTTTTACTAGCAGCATTTAATGGCCAAAAAAACTTATTACAAGATCATACATGCATGCAGCAAACATGACGCTTCTGATTAACTTTCTGACGTTTGTTTCACTTGGTACCTTGTTAGAACGCGTTAGTGGTAGAGCGCAGCTGTATCTATCGCCTGGATTACAATACAGCTACAATTACGACTTGGCAGTGAGCACGCATCACAAGAAGCCGAATTCAAACGTTAGACCAAACGCTAAAATTTGACTTTCTAAGCATTTTACAACTCTAATGCATAATCTTATTAAAGTACACTGAAAGTATACAGTTTTATGCAAGGGTGAAAAGTAATCATGGAAACCCGCTCTTTCCTGCTAGGTTTAAGCTACATTGTTCATAAAAATTAACTAAATTAGCTAGATAACAAGACAACGTTGACCAACACTGTGTACAATTCAATAAATCTACTGAACAAAACGCGGAAATTTGCGTTTAGGCAGGAAGACTCCACCACCCACGATGTTTTTGTTCAGGAAACACCATCGGCCTTCTTTACAGAACTAACGATACGAAGCGCTCTCTAAAAGAAGCGGCCTCTTTAAGGTCGCTAATTTTGAAAAAAAACCCAGGTGGCTATTTTCGACACTCTACAGTATAGGCCTTTTGAATTTTCAAATGTCCAACAGATAAAGGACTTTGCGGAATTTTTTGTCATGCTTACTTCCGTGTTGTATTACGCAGCATTCAATAACCATATGAACGTTATTTCAACATTACACATGCATGCACCAGACATGACGCTTCTTGTTGACTTTCTGATGTTTGCCGCCCTTGGTACCTTGTTTGATTGTGTTCATGATGTGGAGCAGCTGGATCTATCGCCAGGATTAAAATGCAGCTACAGTTACGACCTGGCAGTGAGCACACATCACAAGAAGCCAAATTCAAAGTTTAGACTAAACGCTAAAGTTTGACTTTTTTAAGCATTTTACAACTCTAATACATAATCTTATATAGGTTTTGTGGGGTGCATTTTATTCTCTGCTTAAAACAAATGGATGAAGTGCTCGACGCACTCTTTATAGCTACGCTGAGTAAAGTTTTTATGCTCCATTGTTTTAAAAAGTTTTCAGAGCAAATTTTCCTTCAGCAAAGAGAAAAACAAACTTGATTAAGACTAGCTTATGCGTTCATAAGTACTTTTTTATTCAGTTTCATGCATAACAATCTGAAAGATATCGACAGCAACATTCGCGCAGAACTTCACCATCTACATATTCTTTATTTCAAAACAATCTCAACTATATCTCTTTATTTCAGAACCTAGGTACATGCTGTTGATTTCCCAAGAATCGGATTACTTAACTTGTTTTAGACCTAGATTCATAGATTATTACTATGATTATGCCCACTCGTTTATATTTTAAGACTTGATAAAGAATCTGGACTGAATAGTATAGCTATATCATACAGAAAGGGGTTTTCCTTTTCGTTTATTTTGTCAGCTAGCGTACAGTCATTTAATGTAATATAGTTTAATGCATAAGGGTGAAAAAATACATGGGAAAAGTCTTTTATATGCAAAGTTTTACTTTGTTCAAAAATAGTGACTAAACAAAATAGCTACATGAAAAGCCAACGTTGACAATCACCATGCATGTGTCACACAATTCACTAACACTATATTGAGTATCCCAGAAATTTGTTTTTCTAAGATTTTATCGTTTAAATCATGCAATATTTCCAATACTAGCTCAAATTGTACTTTAAAATGGTAATTTTTTATTGACCGACCAATGTTAATTATGCTTTAAACTTGAGTGATATAATATCCCTGAAATGAGAAATCCTCTACTTCGTTATAGTGAATTAAAAGCTTTAAAACTGTTTTATCGTATGGTAACTTGGACATAAACCAACAGTCAATAAGTTGGTGGCCTTGGCAATCGGTCGAAACTGTTAATGTTTAAAATTCCTTATTGACAACATTTTTTACGTCAGCTTTTGAGAAACATCCTTATTGCTTTCGCAAATCTATTAACAATCTTTTTTCATTGCCAAATAATCACATGCATTTGCAGTTTTGCTGTTGATTATATTTGACAAACACAAATAATAGCAATAAAAGAGCAGTTCCATATATTTTTGTGTCTTTCTTCGATTTAAACAGAAAAATTCTTAAATGTTATCGTCTAAACCCTGAGTACATTTGCATGGTAGAAAGGCTGTTAATCTTAAACTCGGTTGTTAAAATTGCTTAACAGTAGATCATCCTGGTTTTAAGTCATATTTGGGTATGTTTTTAAGTCACGTCATTTCGTTCAACTACTCGAGCTCCAGCAAAAATAAAACCTTCTTGTCTGACGTTATCCTTGTTAAATTTTATTAAATTTTCATCAAAGACACGACTTTCTTATTAATAAAAAAATGTATGATGATGATTCTCTCACACAATAACAAAATAGATTCTTTTCAGTCTTCTTTTACGGGATGTGAATGTCGAATAATGTTTCACGCTTTTTATGTTTTACATGATAAATCGCAGTTTTTTATGACTTCTTATATAGAACAGATCAATATATTCAGGTTATCATATGTTAACTGCAAAAATATGATGACATCAGTGACGTAATATTTGCTTTTATGACGTTATATCTTTTTGCGACTTGACCAAAAATTTTGTTGGCAGTAACTGACGAAGCAATTCGCCGTTTCGTAACAGGTCGTTACCACTAGTTATGGTCGATTACACCACTTCAAAACGTTAAGATTAAAATTTGAAACCAATGCCCACACACTTTGGAAGAAATACCACAATTTTTCAGTTCTGATTGGCTTAGAACACTCAAAGTTTAATAAAGAGTAGTGCAACTTTCAGTTAATACCAATACAAGTGCCAAAAAAAGGAAATACCAACACTATGACAACAAAAGAAATTCCATTGCCAATTTCTTTAAGACGTTTTAAAAGTGCTTCTGATAGATTGGTCAAACAAGAAGTAAACATAAGAGAAAGTCAAATATAATAGCTGGTGTCAGATTTAAGTAGATTCTTTTTGGCGACCTAATCTACAATTAAGCTTTCATAAGACACTTTTTAAAATGCAGAGACCAGTGGCGGATCCAGTGTACGTCAAAATAAATTATAGCTCCTGAATTTCAAATCCAAATTACATTCAGAAAACACTATTGGTTTTTAGTTTTTAAAGAATATAATTTTACCAATGAATTTCCTTCTAAGGGTCTTAGAAATGTAAATACACGCCAAAATGTGCCGCAGAAATTTATTTTGACGTATTCTAATTCCATCACTGGCAGAGACTGCTAAGGGTACCTTGTTTTTGCAAACGCTGCATGATGGAAGAAGTGGTGTTGACATATTGCAAAGCCAACGTAAAAATTTAACAGAATTGAGAAATTTCTTATGCATATGTATACGTAATAGCATGGTTTCGAAAGCAATTAGGAAAAAACATTCACGAGTGAGTTTTTCAAAGACTATCAAAATTTGACGAGTCCGAAGGACAAGTGCAATTTGAAGTCGTTAAAAAACTCACGAGTCAACGTTTTTTTCAGGTTGATATAAAAGTGGTCAATCGTCATAATTTGGAAAATAACGCATATGTCAGTCAGTTGAACGTGAGAAACATGCGTCTTGTTCAAGCAAAAATGGACGACTCGTTAAACACACCATTGATCCAAAGCTCAACAACAAGTTCTCAAACCCATTCTACTTTACTCAAAATTTAAAAGGAAAGATTAAGATGGTGTTTTTTCCTCACGACGAAGTGGCAGATGTCATTGGCTTAAAGAAAGGTATGATTTTTTTCGCTTAGCCGTCAAACACCGCATGTATTTTACATATAAAGTTAAACATTGTGGATGACGTTGGCAACTTACCTGACGTAGGTTGTCACTGGCAAGCCTATAAGACATTTTTAAACCAACATAGTGTTTTGCAATTACATAGTACTTTTGAAAGTAAACCAGAAAAACTCATTGTGTTGCAGGTCTCATTGTTATCACATAATACAATTACTCACATATATACTGTAGGTTTGGTGAGCGCGCTCAGTGTGCACATTCATCCCGAATGGCGTAGTGTTTACAAAATTACAGAAGAAGACGATTCAGGTATCCATGTCTCGTACTACGACGTAAACGAAAGAAATTCAACGGATCTTCATTTTACAAAAAAATGGACCCATGATGATTATTTTGAATTTGCTGATGGAAGACCTGTAAATGGAAAGCATCGTCCAAAAAGTAGCTACAAAGCTCACATGACAGTCAAAAATGGCATCATAACTCGAGTACAAAGAGCTCACTATTCTCATTTGGGCGAGAAAGAGGCTTTAAATGTATCAGAAAAATGGCCTGACCAGTCTTCGAAGGATATTAATGTACAAGTTACAGGAGAAAGCCATCTAAATCTCGTCTACTGCACTTCTGCTAAACGCACAAAGCGATCTGTAAAGGAGCAGAGCCATGACTGTTGGAAGAAGCTCAAACGAGATAATTTACGCCACGTTGACGTAAGTAAATTGAAAAAGTCACCTGAACATGAGAACAAAAGGCCAAACCGATCACTCGAAGATTTACTCTTATGCTACTCAGACTTGAAAGTTAAAAAAGTGAAGTACTAAATTGCATCAAAGATATCCACTACCTTGCACGAAATGATGACAAAGTGTTTGAAAAGATAGTCGATATAGCATTAAAACGTTCACATCTAAATATCTCTACTTGGTCTGCATTAGTTGGCGCTATCGTTGTCCGAGGAGATCACTCGACACAAAAGATAATAAGCAACATCATCTCATCAGAAGAACCTCGGAAATTGTCCGACAAAGAACTTGGTAAATTACTGGAGGCTGTCTACTTCATTCCTGATGGCCCATTACATTTCGAGTTATTAGAAGCTCTTGCATCATTACATAAGAACTCAAACAATAGTGATGACATAAAAGCGCGTGCTTTGTTAGTATTGTCAGGTTTAGTGCATCGCCGTTATGAAGCCGGCTACAATACGTCACTACAGGCAACAGTTGCAGATTATTTGCATCAAAGCTTTGATGAGCATTTTAATGAAATTTCCGAAAGCAAAGATCCTCAAAGACATGAAGATGGCGTTTGGAATCATCTCACAGCAATAGGAAATTTAGGCCATGTTTCTTCTCTTGATAGGATTAAGAAATATATTGATCACGATAACTCTGGTATACGATCATCTGCCATTTCGGCATCACGTAAGCTTCCCGCGGCAAGTACAGATCATCTCTTACTTCATGCCCTGCGCAATGACGAAGACATCAGAGTTAAGGCTGAAGTGATGGACATCTTTATCAAACGCCAGCAAAATATGACAGGAGAAGTTCTTGATGGGATTGAAGTAGCCCTTTGGAGTTGTGAAGACGGAGACGAGTTGGACTCAAAAATTTCATATTTCCTCGAAAGTCAAATGAAACATCCAGACAGCACAAAGTTACAACAGCGGCATGCATCGATTAAACGAAAAAAGAGAGCATTTATTTCACTGTTAAAGCCAAGAGAATTTGAGCTCGGGGCAAGTAAAATATGGAGAAAAGTTTTTGGCGTAAGTAGAGCGGGCGCTCAGGCAATGTTGCGTTTTGTGAACTAGGTCAAATTAAAAATTGGAATTTTTGGTGGAAATTTTGAAGTGGTTATGGACAACAAAGCTTCGTTCAACGGCCACGTGCTTGGCTGGAAGTTTGATATAGTCAACGGAAAGGCTTCGTTTAGAATGGGAGCTGGATTTAAGAACGATATACCTAAAGATATAATTCACACCGTTGCTGATACTGTGGATAGTTTCTTGGCAAAAGTTGATTCCATTTCAACAATTTTCACAGACAAAGTAAACAAATTCATTGAGCTTCTTAGGAAGTACATACCATTTAAGGCTAAAGACTTCGTGAGATTTCTATCAGAAGCGATAGATATTATCAGCCGCACGAAAAAAGTTCGAAATTTTGCAAGTTCATTCAACCAACTTCAAAAAATCGTTAAAGAAGCAAGTAAAAGCTTAAGTGAATTTTGGCTAAGGAACATAGGTACTTTACTCAAAAAACTATCCATCAATCTTCCTAAAGTAGGTCTTATAAAATTCCGCTTCCTAGGAGCGCTTCGTTTCCTTGAAAATTTACAGCTCAATTTATCCAAGTTTAGACTCGCGACACATGGCTCTGTTATACCAAACATCAAATTGTTTGATTTTAGTTTAACGTTGGGTTTTACTTCAACTTTGCACAACATTAAAATATCTCTGTCTCGTCTGTTAAACTTTTTCAACACATTCTCAAATATGAAATTCATGTTTGACAATTTTTTGAATGTTGATTTTCCACGGTTCGGCATAAATTTACCATCTACGGATCTCCGCTTTTTCCCGTCTTTGGACTGGAGATTACGATTCAACCTTAAAAGCAATTTTACAGGTCTTGGCTTTAAAAAATTTCTTGAATTTTTCCCAAATTTCGCTGATATATTTCAAGCTTTTGGAGATCCAAATATTGATTTTCAACAGCTCCTCAATGTCATTCTACCAAGGTTCAGGTTAAAGTTACGACTCTACGAGGTTTCAGGTGGTTTGAACATTTTGAAATGGTTTCGAATAAGCCTACAAAGCTTCCGTTGGAATTTAAAAACATCTAATTTGGCGTTGTTTAACCTCAGCAAACTTTCACTCTTTCTTGATGAGCTAATAAAGTGGATTGAAAAGTTGTCAATCGGTCCACTACCGGAACTATGCAAAGTACAAAATTTTGTTCTAGGGTCTGCAGACACGTTGGAAACGTTTGGAAATGACATTGAAAAAAAATGGTTAATGAAATACAGAACGCTGGTTTCGTAGCAAGACGTGTTGTGAACGAGATTGTAAACAATTCACTGAAAGTTGATGAGATGATCGACGAACTAAAAAATAACATTTCAACAGCTTCAAAAGACTTTGTCAGACACCACTTAGATCTATTCGAGGAATCTCTGACAAATGTAAACGAGCTGGCTGAATCAACTGTGAAGCTCGTTGTTAATTCCTCGAACAAAGCCTTGGGACTTTGCTACGAAGCCGTGAACGTATCAGGTGATGCAATAGACAATATTCAGCAGGAGGCGCAAAGCGCAATAAGGGATTCGACTGCTTTTATCACGTCAATAGTGTCAGGGGGAGTTTTTCCTTCTTAACAATTTTGACAGTTCAGTGGAAAATGTAACAAAATGGTACAAAAAGTATTTAGAGAAAAATGTTGGCAATGTAGTTGTAATAAGTCGGATCATTAACGAATTCTTGTCGTTAGTGAAAACTGACAATCGTGTATTTGGTGTTGTGCGTAATGTTTTCGATGTTGTAAACAAAGTGATCACACATCTTAAAGAATTCCCAAAGTACGCGCAAAAAGCTAAAGAATTTTCCAGCACAATTAGAATGTTTTCAACTAATGTAAGTTATTGGGAAACACAACTGGGAAAATTGGACATTCGAGAACAGTTTAAACTGAAATTTGATGAAAAGTTGAAAAGCGTTTGCAATAAGTTTCGTTCATTGTTAACTGAGAGCGCCCAGCGAGTCTACGGTGATAAGGGAAGCGTTATAAAATCTCTCCGTGCATTCATTACAAGAGAAACCGATACATTCATAACACAATCTGTAGCGAAGCTAAGTGTAATAAAACAGCCGATGGAAAAAGCAAGAGAAGATGCCAATGAAATGTTGGAAATAATTGCTTTGATTTGAGCAACGTTGCTTAAAATGAGACCCTTCTCCGAAAATTTTACGCCGATACTTACAGCAATCAAACGTTTGCCAAGTTGCAAAGATATGCGGTCTATATTTGGTGAATTGTCAACGCACTGCGGAAAACAAATTATTTCATTTGGTCAATCAGCGTACAATGAATTCTCTAAGGTGTATGCAAACATTGAAGCATTTCTTCAACTAATGCCAGAAAACTTGGAGGAATTGAGTTTACAAAAATGTCTTCCAGGTGGAACATGTTTATCAGACGCACTTAAAAGTCAAGCTCGTGAAGTATTCAATGAGATGAAAACACTGAAAAACAGTTTTGGTATTTTTCATAACGTCACGGATAAGATAGAAACATGCAAAAAGAAAGTGGAAGCTATTTACAGTGTCATTACGAACGTGAAAAACATTTCGAATTTGATTGAAGAATTTTCCTTGAAAGACGACACTCGACTAATTGAAGAATTATCTTCAACATTAAGAGGCAAAATTTCTCATGCTGACGAAGGTGTAAAAGTAAGTTTTAAACTTATAATACAGAAATCACGCGAAAGTGCTTAAAGTGTTAAACCAAACTCTCTACAGTCCATATCCGATTTTCATGACATAGCTGATGAAACGCTATTGAAAATAAACACGTTTCATTGAAAAATCCGATTTGTCTGAAGTTTCAAATAAATAAGTTATGCCATTTTCCCTCTATGATTAAACTCTGTACTAGATTCCTTTCTTTCCTATTGACAATATGCAGCGACCGAAATCCTGTCTACATATATAGTTACGATAAAAACTCACGAAAAAAGTAAATCGGAAAGAAACCCATGCAGATGAAGTATAAACCAACTTTTTGCTCTTTCTGATAACAACATACAGGATCTGCTGTCATAGAAAGTCTAAGTCTAGGTCTACCGTGACGTCATGGTTACTAAATCAAGCTAAAGCATGATGTATAAAAAGAACTTAGGTTAATTATCCTTTAAATTTCGTCAATAACTAGCGCATGATTGCTTTGTTTTTTGGGAGAAATGATTTTTTCATTATGTTATATACAGGTTAAACGACGTTCCGCCGCAAACGTTCCAAAGACAATTTCCGACTACGTAAGAAAAGTCAACAAGACTGAAGAAGCAATCCAATCTTTGGTTGATAATGTCATCAGTCCAATGAAAACATTCTACACCGATAATATTGAGCCTTTTAACAAAAAACTTCAGCGCATCCTTAAAACGTTGAACAATTATAATAAGTTAGTGATAAAATCTCAAGATATAAGCCAAATTCTCAACCTGCAGCCATCGCTTCATACTTTAGTCAATAATATAATTACCTTCATCAAAAACGCTCAAAATGCTGTCGGCAAAATTTTGGATCCAATTCTCGACGTTCTTTCCAAAACTGGCGATTTTACCAGTATCTTTGATAGTAAACTTAGTCATTATGGGACAAAGATTATAGAAGCGTCAAAAAAATTAGACGACCTACTTAAAAAAGTCACATCTTTCCTAAACTCAATACAACTGCGTCAAAAGGGACTTTCAAGTGCCAGTTACAAATCTTGGGACCAATACACGCATTGTTCTTCAGATGTTTGTTTGCGATTGATACGTCGATCTTCCAAACCCTACCTTAATCTGATATTTCCACTTAAGTTTCCTCATTTGGACGACCTGTCCTCCACATCCTTAGCAAACAACGGTAAATGGCCAGTCCCCGGACTATTTGATGATTACAAAATTCGCAGCATCGAGCAGTTGTCCAGCAATGAGATGATACTTGGAATGAAAGGAGTTGGAGTTAATACGGGAAAAGCGTCGCTGTTAGTTGTGGTCAGGATCCAGTCTTCACAGACTGAGATACTTAAAATCATTCAGATCAAGAAAGACGGAAAACCATTTCCAATAAGCATGGGTGGCATAGTTATTCTCAAATCAACTTTAATATGGATCGCACACGACGATGGTCTCTACGCAGTAAAATTGTCTGATGTCCGGGCTAGCATGGCATCTAAACGTCCAACTACGATTGCTGTCGTCAAAAACAAAGCTGTTCCGTATAAAGTGCAATCTATTTCGCATGACAGCACAGGCATGGAGGTCTGGGTTCTAGAGGGCAAACGATCGTATAGCTACGCTGTTAGCCCATATGGAGATATTTTGAGCGAAATGAAACAATTAACAATACCAGAGCCTGCTCGAGGTTTTACAATAGTTCGACAATATGGAATCAAATACGGATGTCTTGCAAAGTGCGAATTGGTGATTGGTTACCAGTGCCGAATAGAATTTCATAATGTGTCAAATGGTGTTCTTAGCGAGTCTAGTATTTTAAGAGTGGTAAGGACGCCGTCTGGTCTCGAGGCAGTGCAAACAGTTGGTGAAGACAAGGTCATCGCAGCGTTTTCAAGCGCGGTGATATCAGAAAAAGAGAAGATTGAACGAATTGGAGGAGACTTCGAAGATCGCTTTTTTAGAATGTACGTTCCAGTTCTTAAGACTGAGTTTACAATAACCGAGAATTGTCTTTACTTCCAAGTTGCAGGAAATACAATAATTCCACGATCGCGTTTGGTACCATTTGGAAAAAAGAAATGTGGAAATGACCGGAAACGAAGGAGTGCAGACAATATTATTGAAAGGGATATATATACGAAAGAGCTGGCGAGAGTTCGACGAAGTCAACGGCAGACCAATGGCGAAATATCATGCCTGTGGAATCATGACGTTGAGCTGGCCAAAGGTGAGCAGCATGAGTAGTGTTGTCACTTTTTAATATTCTAAATTTTTCATTGGAAAAAATAGAAAATGGACACTTGAAGCAAGATAGCTTTAATCATTTTTCAAAGTTTCTTGGGAGTCGGCTACAACAATCTAAAAAGTTTTGTCGGATCTTTTGCTAAAACATAAAAAAGCACGATGATTGTGAGATGATTTACGAACAATATCCAAATATTGAATTTATAAACTTTTCTAACAACAACTAAGTTGAATACTAGGCAACTATAGCCTCTTTTGTGAAATTGCCGCTTTCGGTCATCATATAGCTGGTTTGGCGTTTTTGTATAAAGCTAACGAGTGCTTATTATATAAAACTAACAAAAACAGAAAGACAAAAGCTGAACACTTTTTTCCACACGACTCATTGAGAAAAATGTTAAAAATTGCTACTGAAATGTAGAAATGATTGCGTGCTTGACAAAACTGACCAAATTATTTATAATAATAAGCTAAATAAGTTATTGACAAACGAGTCTCCAGTGATTTCAATTGCCAAAAATGAACATTTTTTTCTATTATAGACTCATATCCACTTGTACCCGAAGTAAGTTCTACTATCATAGTATTTGGCATACCAATCACATTTTTCTTCAGTTCTACGTTCTTTTACTCTGTAAACACCAGAGTGTCGCTATGTATCCCAGAACGACAGATTCACATTGCTCTTATTCCTGGAGTGTGGTTGACTGTTGAAGCTGGCGCAAAAGTTTCTCTGATTGTTGTAGAAGCAGGTATAACCATAGAAGCAAAAATTCTGCAAACAAAGCTTATTCCAAAGATCATAGTTAGTGTGAAAAAGTGGCCATTAAATGCTTGCCTAGAGCTCAAACTCGACACTAACCCTCTCGCTGTACGTGTATATCCGTGGTTCCGTCTTAGGGCATGCTTTTCATTCCGTTGGAAAAGCATAGGGTGGGGAATAAAAATTCCAATACCATATATAAGGTGGTGTTCAAGACGCGAGTTAAATGGAATTAGATGGTCAACGTCTTCCATTCACAAACTGCTGTTCAGAAACTGTGGGCAAGATTCTGACAACACTCCACCCGGTATCGGAGTGTGCAAGGCAAAACAGGTTGGACACAAAAAGTACTTTGTTCAATGGCATGGTTTCACCGAGGATAGTAACATTCAAACATACATCGTCACAATTGGCTCATCTGCTGGCTCAGGAGACGACCATTTTTCGAGGGAACACGAGCGTCAAAGCCTTGTTGTCGACAATATTGACATTGCAGAAGGTAGGGCAGTTCATGCCGGAGTACAAGCAGTTAATGGGCATGGTTTAAAAAGTGGCATAGCGAAATGTGAACCATTTCCAGCAACACAAAATCCACCTTTGCTGAACTTTTTAAACGACGGAAACCCCACGTATGACATTGATTACCAAACAGACAATACAACCTTATCGTTATATTTTAGTCTAAAGAAATCATTTCAAAATATCTCAAGTGCTCGCTGGGGAGTCTCGACTAAACCAAGCTGCACACAAGAAGCTGATTTTATTTCACTCCGAGAAACGGGTGGAAGTTTTGATCTCAAAAAGACTGGTCTTGTTCTTCCAACTGGTTCAAAGTACTACGCAAGAGTGATTCTTATCAACAGCTTAGGAATGACTACCATCGCCTGTACAGATGGTGTTACAATAGATATAACTCCTCCTGTACCTCAAAATTTCACGATTGGAAAAGGTGGTGGAAAATTTATACCCTCTACAAGACGAATATTTGGCAAATTTATCCACTTCGTTGATAACGAGAGTCCAATGGCTAAGTACGAGTGGAAACTTGTTGATGAAAGGACCAAAACAGACACCACACAATTTCAAAACATTCCTGTCGAGCAAAATTCGATGCTAATAGAAAGATTGAGCTTAACCTCAGGGGCAAAATACACGGCCGTACTCAAAGGTACCAACGCAGCAGGTCTTCACGCCATCATCAATGTGACTGGAATAATTCCTGATATCACTCGTCCACGTTGCAATGGTAAACCTAGAGATGTACTTGGATTTAATGATATTGAGGATAAAGATTTCGTTTCACAATTTGCAAATCTTACAGCCTTGTTTACTTGCTACGATAATGAAAGCGGTGTGGACAATATCAAAGCTGCCGTTGGCACTTACCCCGGAGGAGACGATATTCATCCGTTCACAGATATAAGACACTTATTCCTAAAAGTTTCAGATTACTCACATACTCGATGGATCTCATTTGTCAACGTCTCTTTGACTGAGCGTGTTAGGTACTATACAACAGTCCGAGTTGAAGACAGAGCAGGCCATAAAACAACTTCCAGCAGCGATGGAGTATTGATCGACACAACAAAGCCCAAAGTTCAATATGAGTATATCAGAGATGGTATTCAAGGTATCGATAAAAAATACAGCAATCAAATTTATACCTTTCCCGCACATTGGGAAAATGCATTTGCAGATTTAGAAAGTGGAATTAGGGAGTATTTTGTGGGACTTGGTTCCAAACCCGGATTGGATGACAAGTCTTCCTTTGTATCACAAAAGTTGGTAACAAAGGCTTGGATTAAAGGCAATAACTTGACAAATGGAGTGAAATACTTTGTAACGGTCATTGCATGTAATCAAGTGGGAATGTGCATAAATGGTAGTAGCGATGGAGCAATGGTAGACTTTGTTAAACCGCATATCGGCCTGGTCACACCAGGTCATGATGGACCACCTCTAAGTATAACTTGGATAAGCCAATCAGCGTGGGCTCGATGGGAATGGTGTCCAATGGACAAGCAAAAGCAACCTGATCTGCTTAACATGTGTGATAGGAACAGCTTCTATGACTCACATTCAGGAATACGACGGTTTGGTATGACTGTGTTATCATATGATACTGCTAGTCAAGTAGGTGATGTGAAAATAGTCGGACGCGTTCAAATTGCTGGTATTCACGTCAAACTATCTAACGGCGTGTTTTCTGTAGTTGTCGAGGCTCAAGACAGGGCTGGAATTAAAGCCAGCGCTCTTTCCAAAGCTTTTGTAGTTGACAGTACCCCACCAACTATTACCAAACTCTATCATGGCGTCCAAAATATGGCAGTCGCATATACATCCACAAAGGAATACGCCTTTAAAGCTTTCTTTGAAATTAGTGAAGACCTATCAAGTATCCACTCCTACAGCGTTGGTGTCTCAACAATTCCTAAAGCTGACGACATAATAAAATTTCAGAAATATTACGTCCCAGTGGGATTAAATACAATTCTCGTGAATTGGACGGCACTGGCTCCAATAACTTTAATATATCAATATCGTTATTACATAACGGTCAAAGCAACCAATAAAGCTGGACTGCTTTCGATTGCTTCATCACAGCCATTATTATTTGACAACAAACCACCCTTCATAACACGTGTAATAGACGGATGGGGAATAAGGGACTCTCAATTTCATCCGTTTCCAAACACATACCGTATACATTGGACAAAGCCATTGGACGTTTCTGGAACACAGCAAATCGACGTTTGTTTGAGTTCGAAAAAATATGACCACCTTTGTAATCTGTTTCCAACAGTTAAAATATTGCCAAAAGCAAATGCATACATCTTTGGGAATGTCTCATTCAGGTCTGGCCAGCAAGTGTTTGCGCTTGTAAAATTTACAGATAAAGCAGGTAATTATGAAAGCTTTTGGAGTGATGGTGCGCTGGTTGATACCACCAAACCTATCGCCGGCAAAGTGAACGATGGAAAATGGGGGGCTGACATAAGATATCAACGTGAAATAAATATTCTTCATTCAACTTGGTCAGGATTCCATGAAAATGAAAGCTTCATTCATCACTACGAATTAGGATTTGGTACTTCGCCCAACAAGACAGACATTCAGCCATTCACAAGTGTTGGTTTGTCCACTTCGGCAGCGTCAGCAAACCTTCAGGTTTCAAGGCTTACTAATGGACGGGTATATTTTGCACATGTTGTGGCATACAATATCCTTGGAATAAGGAGTGACATAGCAGTTTCCGATGGAGTTTTGATAGAGGCAACGCCACCTGTTTTTGTACTCCCTGTGAAGGACGGATCTATGTTAAGTGTTGACTATCGTTACACAAATAATGTCCATTCGTTGGCATTAAATTGGAAGTGTGAAGATAAAGAAAGCAGTTTAAAGAAAGTTTCAGTTTGCATTGGTTCACAGCCAGGTGAAGAAGATGTCGTTCGCTGTCAGCAAGTTTTACCTTTTCAAAAGGTTATTGCTTTTAATGGCCTCAATCTAATGCAAGGGATGCAATATTTTTCAACAGTTAGATGCACAAACAACGTGGGGATGGAGAATTCCATGTCAAGCAATGGCATAGTGGTAGATCGCTCCCCACCATCATCTCGATACATAAGTGTTGGTGAAAATGCATATCAAAGTTTGAAAAAAGTTGGACTCGGCACATGGGTAAACATACGTTGGAAGTTTGTTGATTTTGAAAGCAACATTTTTAAGTACAATGTTTCCATCTTAAAAAATGAAAGTACGGAGATTGTAGCAGGCCCTTGGTCATTTGACGGAAATCAAACATCTGAACAGTTCTTGTTAAACATGAGTGGTATACGGAACGGAAAACATTATGTTGTGTCGGTTACAGCTCAAAATGGCGCTGGTCTTACATCTAAAGCAACTAGCATCAGTTTTGTTGTCGATGCAACATCTCCCATTTGCAGTGACGTGTATCATTCTACTGTGGATAGTGAGAAAACCAGTTTTAGTAGCTACACAGAAAAACTGGTTCTTCACGGAAACTGTAGCGACTTCGAGACGGGAATATTAAGTTACGAATTTGCAATTCAAGAACGTTTGACGTCTACTTATGTCGTTCCATTCTATCGCATAAAAGTACGCGATACTTCGTCATTGTTTGTTGTTGATGGACTCGGTAAATACCCTGTGACACTTCGAAATGACGGCCAATACATTGTTGGACTTCGCGTGGCGAACAATGTTAATTTAACAAGCGTTTATTGGTCTGATGCTGTTGTCATTGACACGACGGAACCAAAATTTCGCCTAATACGATATTCATACCGTGGTCACGAAAATGTATTTCAGGTGGTTTGGGAGCTTTTTGATAAAGAAAGTAACATCAAAAATAATGAATGGGCTTTAAGTGCTGTAACTAATTCTGAGAATGCACTACGTTTCCATAAAGTTCATGGAAATATTTCGGAAATTACAATTTCTAATGCGTTCTTCAGTCCGGGAAAAATGTACCGCATTCATTTCAGAGCAACCAATCATGCAGGATTAACGACGTCGTTCGGGTCAACTGGTGTTTTTGCAGATTTATCTCCACCTTCAGCTGGTCGGGTGATCGCAGACTTTGTTCTCCCAGAGGCGTACGATGGTAATTCGTTCATGAGCGAAGGTGCGTCGTTCATGGTGAAATGGAGTGGATACATCGATATGGAGAGCGGCATAGCATCATATAAATGGGCCATCGGTTTGAATCTCGAAGAAACTCTTCGTGCAGAAGAGAACCACTACACAAATGTTTTGTTTGAAAGCTCTTTAAATAGTGTCGAAATTGCAAACCAAACAATACATTCAAATACAACTTACTATGTTTGTATTAGAGTCACAAATGAGGCTGGACTTTCCGTTACGAATTGTTCAAATGGAGTTTACGTGAAGTTAGGGAAATTGACTGCTGGAGCAGTATATGACGGACCTCTTCAAAGAGACATCGATTTTCAATTGGATGATAAAGCAATGTGGACTCAATGGTCAGGATTTGAGGATCCAGTGTATGGTCTTCTGGGTTATTCATGGTGTTATGGAGAAGCTACTTACGAGGAAAACGAAACATTTTCATGTGCAATACCGTTGCAGTCAGTTGAGCCACCTCTCAGGAGATCTGCCCACCAATTTCATGGAATTACATTAATGGATGGAAAGCATTACAGCGTAAAAGTCAAAGCAGTTAATCGAGTAAACAAAAGTGTTGAGGCAATTTCTAATGGCGTAACAGTCGATAGAACTCCACCAGATCCAGGCACACTATTGATTGGTGGTAAGCAAGCAACTAAAACTATGTATATCAAAGAAACGATTGCACCAACCATAACATGGACAATGGGTGACAAGGAAAGTGCGATGAAGAAGTATTATATCGGAGTGGGCACTTTTCCAAATTCAGATAATCTAATGAAATATATAAGTGTTAACGGAAGCACACGCGCTTTAAATCTAGACGATGTCAAATTTCGTGTAGCCCACGGTCTTCAATTTTATATCACACTTGTTGGGATTAATGTCTTGGGACTTAAAGCAAAAATCACTTCGTCTGAAATAATTGTCGATTGGCAACCTCCTTTAGCAAACAAACTTCGGGATGGTGATGGAATGAGCGATCTTGAGTTTCAAACAGATAATACACGTATTGTTGCAAACTGGGATAAATTTGTCGATGCTGAGAGTGGAGTTGTTAAGTATCTTTTCTGCGTTGGAACTGCAGTAGGTAAGTGCGAAATTTGTGGATGAAGTAATACATGGATTCGTAAATAAAGTCTTGTGATTTGAAAAATTAAAGTGACGTATAGTATAGAAATTCTCTACATAAAGTAATGGTATACACGGTGATACCCACAAATTATGATATTATTTAATCTTTATAATTTTTCGCATACACCATGAACCAAATTTAACGTTTCAGCTTCTAGCTTGCTAAACGTTACAACAAAAAAGATAGTGGTCATAACTAAGGCGCACTGGGAAATGCTTTCTTGCTGTATAAACATAAAACAATGCTGCTAAAAACAACCAATCACAGTGTTTGATAGAGTTTACATAATGACACTTTTCAACACTTTTAAAAAATTTGAAAGGCTCGTGCAAAACTATTTTATAGGGAGATCTGTTGTTAAAATCTCGTGGACTTAAAGATAGTCAGTTGTAAATGTAACAAACTGTATCCGCTTGAATCTGAAATTGTATTTTCAAATTTTAAGCTCAATTAGTTGGAACTCTCTTTCCATCAAGTTGGTTGCTTTTATTAACTGACAACTTTTGCTTTACGCACTGATAGGCTTTTAATTTTTACTGTTTCATCGGTCCCATACTTGAAAATTCACTTGCGACGTAGATGACCTTATAGCATTTTTCTTACAGAAATGTGCGACGTTTTGAACAAGACTTCAGCTAATTCCAGCTTAATCGCTGAAGCATCAGTAGCCTTGGAGCACTCTTATACCTATTTTGTCACTGTAACAGCAGTTAATGGCGCTGGCTTATCAACAATTATTTCTACAGATGGAGTAACAATTGACCGAACAGCACCAGTTGTTCAAGGATTTTCTATACTATCTTCAATAAAGTCAAATGAGAATACAAGTAATAGTCTCGGCCACTTGAGAATTTCACATATTTCTACACGCAAACATGATATAACTGCAACATGGGACTACATCGGTGACGATGAGAGCAACATTAAACACATATCTGTTTGTGCGGGCAAGAGAAATGAAACGTGTGATTTAAGGGAATGGCAAAGATGTGGAACACAAGCCTCTTCATGCATCCTGCACTTTCCCACAAATCTTAGACCAGGTGACCTTTTTGTGCTTAGGCTTTCGGTAAAGAATGGTGCGGGCCTAATGACTTTCGCACAAACAGGGAAGGTCCTCGTGGACACAAGCTCACCAAATGTAGGAACCATTCAAATTAATGGACAAGTAAACGGGCGAAATAACGTTATACTGTTGCAGCACGGGCAACCAATACGTGTTTCTTGGCAAGGATTTGAAGATGCTGAAACAAACATTCGTGAGTACCAATGGAAAGTATGTTATGCAGCACAGACAGACTCTTGTCTTAACAATTTTGTGAACGTCGATTTAAGAACAAGTATAACTTTTAATGACACCGGAATCGAGCATGGAGTAGAGTACCGTATAGTAGTGAAAGCTGCGAACTTTGCTGGATTGGAGACCAAATCATTTTCAAATTCATTTATTCTTGATAAAACTCCACCTGACATAGGGAAGATTACCACCATCAGTAGGAATGGCTATCAAAGTTCTCCTTCTCAAATATCTGTAGCATGGAATGGCTTTTACGATGCAGAAAGTGGAATTTCTCGCTATGAGGTCTGTGTTGGTACAATGGAAGGAGTATGTGATGTTTCTGCTTATCGAAGCGTTGGTTTGAGCACTGCGACCGTTGTTCGTAACTTAAATCTTACTCAAAATGCGACTTATTTCACCACAGTGCAAGTCACTAATGGTGCAGGTCAAACCAGTTTTTCCTCGGCAAGTGGCACGACTATAGACCAGACTCCGCCAGTTGGAGGTTCTACACCACGAGATGGCAGCAATGGTGATCAAGCTGTGACATTAAAAGGCATTTACATCGAATATAACTGGGACGAGTTTAGTGATCCAGAATCAGGAATTTGGAAGTACGTCATTTGCGCTGGATCAGTTGAAGGAGCTTGCGATTTGTCGTTGAAAGTGACAGTTGTAGACGTGCTTAAGGCAAGTTTACGCATTGGACCAGATGTTAGTTCCGGCACAAAAGCCTATTCAACTTTATGGGTCTACAACAATGCTGGTGGAGTGGTTGAGCGATACTCGAATGGAGTACTGCTAGATGGAACACCACCTGAAAATGGAAATGTAAGAATGAAATCTCACTCATTTAATCGATATTTACCATGCAATATGATTAATTTCAAGTTAGATTTTATTGATTTATGAATTGCACTTTCTGCAGACATTTTACGTTTGTTTGGTTTCATTTGAAAGCTTTTAGCCATAATCTCTTAAATGTTCCCGGCAAGGAAATATTTGCAATTTCGCATTTCGACCAAATCAATTTTTCAGTACTTCTACTTTTACACTTTGACGCTGCAGAAAATTATGTCTATTACCCTTTTAAATGTTTTGTGAAAAGGAGGTGCTTGGCAAATTATTTAGACATAATGAAAAGTTTCGAACCATTTAAATAAATATATTTCTTTTGCAAAGCACTAAACTTTGAAATTCTGTTAGGTGCAATTTTTCCACTATTTTTATCACATTTACCATAAACATCTTTAAAGAAAGATAAGAACAAGTATATGAACATGGATTCATTTTATATTGAATAAACGATCTCTTTGTTTAAGGTTAAAATTACATCTCCAAGCGTTTTGATAAACAACGTAATCCATTTATCCAATCTGAAAAACCTGTGTACGTCCTGGCATTCGTTTACTGATTTGGAGACAAAGATAGTAAGCTATCATTTTTCATTATGCTTGTATGCAAACCAGCAAAATTGCAGCGTAAAGCGACAAAGTGTGAACAATCAAACGTCTTTGTGCATTGAAAATCCACCAATGATTGAAGGACAGAAGTACATCATTCAGATCCTAGCAACAAACGAAGTTGGTCTTGTGTCTACTGCTGCGTCGAAGCCATTCACACTTGACAATAGTCCTCCCGACATTGGTGTAATTACTGTATCAAACACAATCGGTAAGCAGTTTGATTTTATCTCGACGAGCTTATTAACGGAATGGAATGGTTTCATTGATCGCGAGAGTGGTATAAAAGAATATCGTGTTTGTGTTGGAACCGAACCTGGGTTGTGTAATATCACAAACAATGCGACCGTGGGAAATGTCTTTCATCATACATGGTACAATCTTAGTTTACTCAACTCTGAAGATTATTTTGTCTCAATATGGAGCATCAATAATGCTGGCCTGTCCTCCGATTATATTTCCTCCGAGCCCTTCTCCGTTGACACAACAGGTTAGTGCTGATTGAGATTCCCTGGTGATCAATTTTCCATTATCGAACAATCGGCAAAAGATTAGCTTTATGATTTACTATTAATATTTGATATTAATGTATTATGAGATTTTATTGCGTTCAATTCTCTTCGTGGATTAAAAAACATTTTGATCAAAAATGCAATTGTCAGTTTTTTTCCTGTTTAGCTCCACTGTCTGTTGAAATTTTTGATGGCTCAACTCAGCTTCGAGACATTGATTACCAACAAAATAAGGATCAACTATTTGCCACATGGTCAAAGCTTGAAGATCCTGATAGCGACATAGTTTCGGTTAGCTGGTGTGTAAGCACATCGTTTGACAGATGCGATGTCATACAAAAAACAAGTATTCCGGTCTCCTCGACAAAGCTAACCGCGTTTCTTCCTCAAAAAGCTCATGACGGAATAACGTATTATGTATCATTGACTGCAATAAATGGAGCAGGATTAAGCACTACAACGATATCTGATGGAGTCTCAATTGATAGTAAGGCTCCTACTGCCGGGATCGTTGTCGCAAGTCAAAATGGTAAATTAAGATATCAAAACGGAAATGAAGATATTCGTGTTCACTGGTTTGGATTTAAAGACAATCAAAGCAGTATTCAATCTTACGAATTTTCTCTATGCGAGGGACTGAACCGATCATCTTGTCTATTGGAAGGTACGGGAGCTGGAACGGAAACAAATGTAACATTGAGGGGTGAGTTGCTGCCAAATATATTTTTGGTCATTCGATGATTTTGATCAAGAAGTTTAGCGTTTTACGTTTTTTCAACAGCCAAAGCACATTGTATAACTTCTACTTTCTATCAACCAACCACTGTCCAATTTACCAGACCCTACCATATGAGAAAGAATTGTGCATTATTGTCCCATAAGCAGCACAGTTTCTGATGAAAAATGCATAAATAATTAGAAAAGTATGATGTATGTAAGATCGCTAAAGAGCATTTTTTGTTTATTTTCAAATTTTACAATCCAGTTGATATGCTCGATCTGAATCATGGAATGGAATATGTTGTCATAGTTCGCGCAACCGACGTCGTTGGTTTGAACGTTGAAACTTTATCGAACAAATTCCTGATCGACAATACCAATCCTGTTGCTGGTACAATCTTAACTTCTGGTCCATTCTTCAATAAAACAGCGCTAATCGCAGCGAGGTAACTATCAGATATAATTTGGTTTGACTGGAGTTTGTAAATAACAACAAAGCATATTTTATTTATGTCAAGTCATGAGAGTCTAATAATCTAAGGCCTGTTTTATAAGGCGCATTTTACATGAGTCGAATGGATTCAAAACAAAAGATAATGAGCAATTTTATCTCATTTTATTTTGTCTCTAATGCATTGGACGCATGTAAATGCGACGTATAAAACAGGCCTAAATTTATCTTCAGAGAAACAAAACACCTGGGAAGATCCAATTGTCCTGAATGCAAATATTTATTAACTTCACATTTCTATGTAACAAGTACGTTATGTGGATAACGTAAAAAAATTTGAAACGTAGCATACATCAGCAACAGTGAATTCATCAAATTGTTTTGTCGTATGTCTATAATGATGATAAATAAATCATTTCCCTTTAAATTTCCTTCTTGGTAGAGCAATACAATGATTTCTGCCATATTGAACCAAACTTGCACGAGCAAGAGTTCGTAGAAACCTCCCAAAACTGACGTAGCTAATACATCCTATTATATTTTTATGGTTGTTGATCCAAAACAATTTATATTGATATTCGTCAATTTGAGACACCAAGATGTTTTGAAATGTTTAGATGGCTGGCTTTCTACGATCCTGAATCTGGTATATCTTACTACGAGATTTGTCTTGGCACAGCACCAGACGATTGCAATGTCATCGATTTTAGGAATGTTGGTTTGAACACAACGTACATGTTTAACGGCTTAAACTTGCAGCAGAACGAAAAATATTACGTGACAGTGAAAGCAATTAATTTGGCGGGCTTATCATCGGAAGCTTCTTCGCTAGCTATCACAGTCGATAGAACTCCACCAAAAGAAGCTGACAATGGAAAAAGATGGAGCTCTGGCGACATTTGTACAGATGCAGTTCAAGGCTGTGTACATAATATTTCATCAGGTAAGATAATTTTTCATCAACGAACATTTTACATTATGCCATCTTAACTTCAATGTGGTATTCGTTTTTGTAGCAAAGAAAAACGACCGTTTAGAAATTAACTGTAAAGATGATCTTATCAGAATGAAGTGGTCAAAGTATGAAGATAAGGAAACTGGTCTGACTTCAACTGAATGGTGTCTTGAAACCGTGAACGGCACGTGTGACATTTACGCTTGGCATACAATACCACGCAATACACAAAGCGTTTCTGCAATTGTACCCGATCTCCACACAGCCATTCATGTTCGAGGCGTTGTTCGTTTGCGGAACGGTGTTGGAAAATATACACAGCTAACATCTTCACTTTGCGTTCCCAAGAAAGAGCCTCCTCCTTTGGTAAACATTTCGATGTTTGAAGATTGGAGTAATCCTAGCCTTGTTTCAAACTACCAAAGAAATTCTGATGCAATCTTCGTAAGGTGGTACATTCCTGAAAACAGGTTTTCGAATTTAAGCGTGCATGTTGCTTTAGCAATGCAAAAGAGAAATTCTTTTAATCATACAATAGGAAATAAATGGCGTGGTGAGCCACTTGTCTTTGACTTTGTAGAAGCTCCACGTGGAAAGATCAACATCACCTTCAGTGGTTCTCGATTAGAAACGTACGTGAAATATCATGTTATTGTAAGGGTATGCAACACGGTCGGACTTTGCACAGATTCACATGGGAAACAGTTTCAAATCGTTCCTGACACTCCAAGTCCAATGAAAGTTATTACGAGCAATGGTGCCGAAGGCGAAGAGATAGAACGTTGGCAAAAGTATGTAAGAATACCCAAACTAACACGAAAAATTGCCGACAACACTTTGTTTTTCTCAGATCCGTCCAGTCTCTATCTGAACACGAAACTCGAAGATAACAATAAATCTGCTGTCACCATTAATAATATTCCCGTCACATACGAAGCAAGAGTAAATCGAGTTCTCTTTAACACGAACGAAACTCAAAACGAAACTCTGGTGAGTCAACAAATGTTCAACAATACGCACATATATGGAAATAATGTGGTGTGTTGTTCAAAACAGAACAAGAAGCCGAGATCCGTAAATCCTGACCGCTATTTTATCCCAGTTTCAAAAACTACGTATTTTGGAGTTTCTCTTAGTGTTTTGGACTCTAATACCATTGTTGTCTCGTCTTCAACATATGTATATTTCTTCTCTGTGGATTCTTTCAATATCAAACCTATTTTTAGTATTTCACTCAATGATACGGCAGCACACGACAGTCAGGTGCATTACAAAGCAAAGACGAAAAACGATACCCTCCTGGTGTCATTCGCAAATATTGTTTCTCTTTACAAAAATATTCATGTCGAAACGTTGAACGCTTCGAGCGCCTCCGTCCATCTGACTAATTGTAAATATAGCATGACGTCAATGCCCCGTTATTGTCATGGTGACGACCGATGGTCGACACACAAAAATGTTGGAAGAAAGTTCGAATATGATGGTAAAGGAACAATTATTGTAAGCGGTCAAGATCCACGAAGCAATAGTTGCGTTGTGGCAGTTTTTGTACAAGAAAGTGACGAATGGCATTTACGTCAAGTCATTATAACGGGCGAGAATGTTAGTTTGTCTATTAATCATCAGTATATGGTTGTAGCAAGCACAAAGATATTAATATATACGAAAGCGTCAAATTCATCCTGGAAAATTGATCAAATACTATCTAATAGCTTACGAGAATCTCTGCTTGCCGACAAAACTGTCTATTTAGCCACAAAAGTAGATTTGCTTCTAGTTCTTTCGAAAAATTCTCAGACATTAAACGCATACGAAATATCGACCACACAGAGGAGCACAATTCGGAAATGCAGTTACAAGTTTGCCTCAAAAATCGAGTTGACCGGAAATCTAGATGTTTCCGAAAGCAAAGAGTTCATAATCGCAGTAGGAATGACATACAACAAAAATGCCGGTGTCGTGTTGATTAATTACGATCCTTCTCACGGATGCGCCAAAATTGGTGAAATGACCATCAATGCAAAGTCTAACTTTGCAAACAAACACATACTTCCAACGGTAGCAATTAGCGATACACATTTGTTTCTAGGAACGCCAAATATCAAAACCTGGTCATTAGACGATGTTTCTTCCGGATCTGGACGCCTATATGTTACAACATTTTGTAAACGCAATCACGTGCGCCAGAGACTTTATAATAAACAGCAGAGTGTGCTCATAAAGTGCATCCAGTGCCATTCCGGGTGGAAAGCCTTTTCAGGTTTCGAAGAAGAATGTGTTAATTGCATCAACAGCGTCTGTTCAAATTCGAATAGTGCACATTTTAAGCTGGCAGATGGTGCAAATCATCCACCACATTTCATGTCAAACCACACAATAGTACAAAATGCGTCCATGGATAATTTAACCGTTACTGAATGGGCAACAAGTCTCGAAAATCAGGACTTTTACCTACCAGGCTCTATTCAGAGTTATGTGGTCCGGTTGGCACAGATATTGCCGACAGGAGCAAGAACTGAGTCAGAAACCTTCCCATTCTCAATCGACAACACTTCTCCAGAACCAGGCTCAGTTTTTGATGGACCAGGAAGTGATGCTTCCCAAAATTGTTCAGCAAATACGACTTTAAGCTCAAAACACCAATGCACTAGCAGAAACTTCCTTGACACAGACATAGACTACACGAATGACACATCTGAAATCAGCGCAAGATGGAATGATTTCAAAGATAACGAGAGTAACATTGCAGAACAGTTTTGGTGCATCGGTTCGAGGCCTTTAAGTGACGATTTACTAGCATGCCAAAACGCTACTGACCAATCAAATAAGACCTTTAACGGCCTGTCGCTAAATCATAAAGAAAGCTACTATGTTACTGTTATAGTCTGTAACTACGCTGGATTGTGTACGGCCAAGTCAAGTGACGGAGTGCTGGTTGACACTACACCTCCTGTTATACACAGCGTAATTGACGGACTTGTCGACAATGACATAGACTATCAGGTATGAATAATTTTTTGGTACATGTCTATTGCCATTTTCTTTGTCTTGTCTTTGCGTTGCTAGGACAAGCTCCAGAAACAGGCATCAAACCTCAAGCAGTAGGTTTAATTTGCTACAGCAGCATATGATCAAAAGCAGCACTTGCATTAATTTGTTCTATTTATTCCTAAACAATTACTTGACAATGGACTGTCTGACTTTGTTGCACACTTTTTCATGAAATCATCTACTTAAAACAACACTTACTAACAAGTCTTGTAAATATCGTTTCCTTTACCATTCTTACATCTTAGGTATTTACAAACGCTTTGTTCGGGCAATGGAAATCCAAAGATCCGGAAAGTGGCATCGCTTTTTACGAAATAGGTTGGGGTAGTCAGCCTGGAAAAGACGATGTCTGGGAATTTCAAGAAGTTGGCAACATTTCACTTTGGTACGCATCATTTGAAGATGGAAAACTCAAAAAAGGGCAGAAATTCTTCCTTACAGTGAAAGCTTATAACGGAGCGGGTTTGGAGTCAGAACCTTTGACTTCCAATGGCATTACCGTTGGGAAAAGTGAATACGTTTTCTCTAAGAATGATTCAGGTTTGTTCCTTTTTAACACAATGAATGTGGACGCCAATGAAACTTTGGAAGAAGAAAACGTTGGAAACACATATGGCAGCGTCGAGGTTCCGCCCGGAGCTGTAGAAGATAAAGTGAAATTTCAAATGTACAGTCTCGATGAAAAAGAACTGAAAAATGGCACAGTTGATGACACGACAGTTGTTGACCCTGATAACAGAAAACCATCAAAGGTAAAAACGTGCACGAGAAACATTTTTTGTGGAATTTAAAGCATCTGCAGACAAAACAATGTGTTTTATAAGTGAAATATTACAACTTTTTGGTCTTATTTGGGTTTCAAGTTATTCTCTTGCAGAGCTGAACCGATTATTCTTCCTTATTCTCTTAACTTTTTCATCTTGTATAAACACACATTACACGATCCGATTTGTCGGATCCGATTGTTTCGGATAAGACTTTTCGTTGCTTCTTCAGACAGTCCGATAATTTCCTTGATATTTATACTTGTTTCGATATTTATAGTCGTGTGAGCAGCCATTTGTGTTATCCAGCACATTTATCGATATATTTTTCGTATTTTTGTTCTTGTTTCCAATTTTTTTTCAATTTTGTGTCATTTGAATAGTCGGCTATTTCCATTCGATTTTTTAGATTGACGGATCCGATGATCGGAAGCTCACTTTATGTGTTCAAACGATCCGTTTTTTAGGATCCGACAAAATCGGATCTTGTAAACGGGCCTTAAAAGATATCTTCTCTTTTTTAGCATTTCAAACTTGGGGATTATAGTTTTCAAATTAATGCTTACGAGCCAGAAAATAACACGTTAAAGAGCCGTTATCAGTTCAAAAAACCGATAACGATCACTTTGGTTTATGATGTTGATCAAATGCTCAAAAAGAATCGAAAGGTTGTGACAGATGAAGTAACGAGCAAAGATATCGATCCTGTTTTACTACTCTGGGATAAAGAGAATCAAACATGGTATGAGGATATTTTCAGTAGAAAAATTTTGGATAAAAGAGCATGAAAACGTTGATAAGGCTGTCGACTTTCCTTCCAAATTACAACAGCACGATATTTATTAAAATATGCAACAGACGATTAATCATCAACGTACGATTACTATAGGTTCGATGCAGCAAAAACATGCCCGGAGCCATGGAGTTCGGTGGACAAGATCAAGAAGACCTTGAAAGTGAAAATTTGCCATCTCACACAGTTTGCATTATTTTGGACATTTCAAGCAGAGAATGGAATCGTGGAGTTCAAGAGAGAATTTAACGGTAATGTTCGGCTTATGAATTGTTGGCTGAAGGCGGAAAGTCGACTGATCAAAAATGCAACTTTTGATCAATTAAGGGAGTTTATAAGCTGAGGGGGCTGAAATAACTCAATATAGGATTGATCCGACTTGAAGTAGAGTCAACTATTTAGGTATGCTCAAACTAACTCGTAAACAGTTTATTTAACTCTACTCATGGTGACAAAAATTGGATTGAGGTTTATTTTTAAAGAAATTACAACGTTTAATATGATTTGATGTGAGTAAATGAATTTATTGAAAGTATAATTGAAGAAAAGTGCGATTGCGAGCATTAAGTTTCATTACCACGCAAAACTGTTGAACAACGTTTTTCTTGTTTTTCTCTGATATTTAGGTAGTGATATGCCTTATGGGTACATTGACAAAAACGACAGTGTGATGTACGATCCTAAACTTCATAGTAAACAAATGTTATTACCACTGATGAGACTCAAAGGTTCGACCGGAGATATAAATATATCGTGGAAAGTCGAGTTTCAACAAAGTTCATTCAAAGTATCTCCTGAATTAGGAGAAGTGCTTATGAGGGAAGGCCAGTGGAATTCATCTATGCGACTTCAATTTTACTCCTTACCAGAAAATGAAAAAGACGTCTACATTTTTGTTCATTTGTTTAATATTTCTGGAGGGGCAAGTTTTGGGAACACAACCCGAGTGAAAATCGTGTTTTCTTCCAAATTCTTCGTATCGACGAAAACGAGGACTACAGACAAGAACAACTTGATTTTCAACATCGTCTTACCGTCAGTGGGTGCATGCTTTGGCTTAATCCTCATAATATTGGTAATAGTTATTCTGTACCGACGATGTTTTAGAAGAAGGTATGATATGGTTTAGGGAAGGATCTTTCTCTCTAAAATTATTTACGTTGATTATTTTTAGTTAGACTTTCAAATTGACTTTCATTGACAAAATTCGGAAAAAGTTGATAGAATATTACATTTTGCACCTGTTAACAGGAACCAATAGGACATTTGCACAACTACGATTACCTATCGTTCAAATCCAATAAAAATCGGACAAAGTCCGATTACCTATACCTAAATGATAAGTCAAAATAACTCTCAAATCAGACAAATTGTGCAAAACCCACAAAATAAAAGACCGCACAAATTTTGAACAAGTCTCCGAAAAATACATAAAGCTTAGCTATTCTAAAAAGTATTTCAGCCGATTACTGAAAGAAATATAGCACAAAACACACTACAAAAAACGTCATCTTGTAAACTCAAGATTCGAGTTATTAACAAGAGACAAATCTATGATTTTAATTGAAAGGATATTTACTTTAAAAAAAAGTGGAAATATCGTTTATAAGTTTGTCTTATAAGTATAAATTTTTCTTTTGTCAATATAACACGAATCTTGAGTTTTCAAAGGGATGTTTTTTGGAGTATTTTTCTGTTGTAATAGCTATGCTAATTCCCTTTAGAAAATAGTAAACTTAAAAAATTTGAATTTTTGAAAATACATAAAATTTTAAATTGTTTGGAAGCGATCGCACTTCGTGCACGCGTTCTTGAAACGTAATTTCTCATTTCTCCCAAACTTTTCTGCGTGTTTCTATAACTCCATAGAAACACAGAAAATGTTTTTTTATTTCTAGATAGCATAGAAATGTCTAAGGCAGCATAGAAATGTTAACGATAAAAAGCAAAACTTACGGGGAAAACTTTTCCAGGTCCCAAATCTGTTCAGCCATCTTATTTCAACCTAATAAAAAAGACCACAAAAATGAAAATTAATGCCATTAAAGCAAGGTTTTACGTGGAACAAATGACGAGAAACTTATGCTTTAACTTACATGAGAAAATTTCAATTACGTAAGGCATTAAAAGTTTGGATGTATAATCGAGTAATTATGGCACAGACTAAAGGAATACACACAAAGGCCACTTCACTCCGTAAGTTGGTGCTGGCTGCAGTTACGCATGCTAACATTCCTATAGGTCAAAACAGGCAATTGACTGGCCCGCCATTATGGTAAACAAATGTGTAATAAGATATGCACAAAAGAAAATTCAAAGGAGTGAGCTTTCTGTGTTTCCTGATTCTATGATTATGGACTATTTTGCATTACTGGAAACAATGTTGGTTCTTCACTTCCCCGAAATGACGTACTGTAAGCCCTTGAGGTCACGTGCACACAAACTATATGTCATTGTCACTGCAAACAGTGGAAGTAAACAGAAACTTTAAAACAATTTACACATCCGTGAAAACTATACGGGCTTCCGATACAGGAATCTGAAATCCGGAATAAAAACTTTCAGACCCTACCACTCATCGAAAAAAATACATTGCACTTATGAATTCTGATATTAATATATTCATGTGGAACTATTGCAAACATTGAGAATTATTTGGAGCCTATTAATTATAAATTAAATTAAATTTTTATGTTATCTTTTGAACTTTTAGAGAGACAAGAGGACAGAGTCGACAGGTGGTGGTCATGCATCAGGCTAACCCAATTTATGATGAAACATCCTTCATATCTGCGAAGGAGTGAATATCGCAAACGATTTTTTAAAACTTTAGCTTTTGTATAATCACAATGCCAAAATGGCGTAGGATAATTTTGTAGTTTCTAATATTTGGTTGTACTCAAACATAACCATTCATAACTAAATTGTAATTATTTCAAGAACTATGATTAAAAATCCATTTTTGTCACCTTGTCTATATTTTAACACGAGAATCGCTATTATGAGCATATAACTAATTTAGCAATGAGAATGTGGAGATATGCTAACAAAAACACTGAAATATAGTTACAGGCAGTCATTTCTTCCCTGATTCATGCTTTGAATAGCAGCCTTGTGGATTCAATAAGCGGATACGACTCACTTTGTGATTCTTATCAACAATTTTTAACTTACGAAAAAATTGTCGAAAGCAAGCAGACAGAGCTAAAAATAATTATTAAACAAGGAAGATTTTCTAACAACAAATAAGTTTCCTAACAATATCAAACATTATATTAGATATAAATGTAAGCTCAGCATGCGTTACGTGATGGTTAACGACCACCCTTTATTCAAGGCAGCATAGTACAGAGAAGGTTTGAGAGGAATAATAACCATGGTCCATTCGCATCACATACTTTGTGGTAGTATACTGAAAAAGTTTTCTTTGTCTACTTTGAACGCTTGCCTGTCTACTTATGCGAACTTCTATGTTTATTCTTCGTGCATTTTGCTAACTGTAGAGTTTGGCTCGTGCATATTGTATCAAAAGATAATAAAAATATTTTTTGAATTTGCTATTTTTTTCTGGTGACCAAATAAACTTGTAAGTCTAAGGTAGCCCGCAAGAATCTATCTTCCCCAGTAATATTCTACTTAGTGCTGTTTCGAAAATTGGTGGGTGGGGGTCAGAAAATTAAAACTTTTCCTAAATTGAAATCGATCATTTTGAAGTGTGTGGGGACATGTCTCCCCCGTCCCACAGGATTTGACGACGCGTCATAATCCGTTAAGGCAACTATTTTTGGTCGTACTCTTTTTGAACAAGATCTGTTCTAATTTTGACTTCCTCATGGCATTTTCACTCTTGATTGATAACTCAAAAATAATTTAAAGCATGAAACAGAAAAAAGGACTGTGGTAGTCAGACGTTTTTGTTTTATAAAGCAAACATAATAAACAAATTAGGGAGACATATGTAAGACGAATGTCAAAAATGCAGAACATAACTGCAAAATTTTGACGTAAATGTGCTACTTTGAACTTCAATGACAATTGCTTTAGATGAACTGCTTGTTGCATTTAATAATTCTTTGGAAATTTGCACCCATACATTCCTTCTTGCCTAGGCTTGAAGGTGCACTCCCCCCTGCAAACATCACCTCAATCCATCACTGGACTAAAAACACCGTAATATCCTAGTGCCGATGACATATATTGGTGAATATAAATCATAAACTAATAAAACATTTACATTGTCAACAGATGATGAATCAGCAAGAACATGGATAATAATTAATAGTTTAGCAAATTCAATATTTAGCAGGGACTGATTCTCATGGGGTAGTGGCCACATAGCCATCCTAGCAATGCCTATAAGGATAGCAAATCTGCCTACAAAGATTAATGTAGTAAGGCATAAAGTAAAAGCAATGGTAAACTGATTTAAATGGGGCTCATTAACAAAAATATCTCATAATAATAGTATAAGTATAACAGAATTTAAAAAACATAATATTCAATCTAGAGAAAGGGTGGCTAATGGATTATCAATAAAAATGTTTACTATGTTTTCCAATGAATGCCTGATTTTTTACATGTACTATGTAAATATTTTGTGTTTGTCTAAACAATGAAATCAAGTTTCTAAATAAGAAGCAAGATAGACAATTTAAGGCATGGTTCTAACATAAAAGTTATCACAATAAAAGAAAACTAGAAAACTCCTAAAAGAGGTATTCAAGAAATAATTAACAAGAAACATATATGATTCTGAAAAAGCAGTGTGAACCTTAACACAAGGAATTCGGTCATGGAAACTCTGATATAAAACTTCATATACATAGTAGAAAATACATTAGTAAATATGCATGAGAAGCTATTAAATTTATTTTCTTTCGGCTTATCACTAATCAGGGGTTGCTGAAGAAAATCATCCACAAGCTGTTATTACCAATCATAATAATTCAAAATGTACATATGTATACTAAATGATAATATTAGAAGAATTTTTTTGTCGTGAGAGTTGTAGCTAGTGAAAACAACATCATATAGATAAACTGGTTGATGCTGAAGGAGTGCCAATAAAGTATGAAATATAGTATAGGGTGAAACACAAGTTGGAGTAAGTATGGAGTGACTTGTGTATCATCCTATACTAAATTTTACAAAAAACAATAAAATTATTATTATATTATCATACATATATATGGAAAAATGAATGCATTCTTCAGGAATATGTTATTATCATATTGTATAAATGATAATTAGGACCATTACATTTAGCAATTCTACCCATTGGCAAAGAATAATTAAACCACAAAAAACTCTGATACATGGCAAGGTACCTAACACTTTCAAAGTAGCCACTAAAATCTAATCTGAAATACACAGACCAAACAATAAAGTAAATGGTCATGACTACCGCTAAGGTTGTCGAAACGTCAGTCAACAACAACAAAAACAGTCCTTCTCAGGACTATACAAACCTGGACGATCTAAATTTACAAACATGCAGACCAAACAATATTATAACCTACACATAAAAATGAAAGTTATTTTGCTAATATACTGTAAATACCATGTTAACAGAATCAGTAATCATTTTGATGAAACATAATCGTAAACTTTGAAAAATTTTAGTGAAATATTGCCAAAACTTCGATAACTCACACTTTTTAATACGGCAAACGCAGAATAGCAAATGCAGATATTTACTAAGCCTACTTTCCACTAATCGGTTGCTTCCAAATTTGCGACATGATTGGTTGTCAAAAATAATGACGAAATCATCAACCAATCACGCGCGTTTCAGCTACTATTATGCACGAGGAGTGGGCTACAGTGGCCAATTCTCGACACTGACAAAAAAACAAAATAACAAAGGTGAATTTAAAACTCTGTATACCCTACGGGTACCCGGAGTGATAATTTTGCTATGAAAGTGTTTTGATTATAAAACAACAGCTATAATGAATGGGTCCTTAATAACTCTTTATCCGCTGTTAAAATTTTCTATGATAAAGTATTTTTTAAGATTTACACTTTATTATAACAGACCTCCAACATCGATTCACAGCATGTCAACAAGTTTCATGCACGTAGTTCGAATTTGATTGATTGAATTTACGTCATTTAATTTTGTCCAAGTACGGAGGAAGCATGTAGCTTGTAGCTTGTTGAAATGTTCTATGAGAGAGATCCTAATCAAATAATTAACAAACAGATAACATTTAACCGTTGTTTATACAGTTATAGATACACGGGTGTGACGTCATTTGTGACCAAAACGCAAAAAGTACAAAAACGAGGAATGAAGTCATTTGTTATAAAACGCAAAAAAATTCCCAAATTAAACGGTCAAACAGTTTGTTTTCCTGGTCTTCCAACACTTAGAACATTAAAAAGTCTTGATTTTGCAAATATCACGCTTACGTGATCTATAGGATTGAAGAAATGCTAGTGGCTAGCTTAAACACGTAATAAAATGTGATTGGCTAACAAAATAAACAAGCAATGGCGGATCAATTTTGTTGAAATTTTGTTATCAAAGACGAAGTACAAATTAATGTTTGAAAACCGGGTTTGTTCTCTTCTTTTTGCTCAAATACGTTAACTGCCTCAACTAGGTCTTTGTGAATATCTTTATTTTCCCATTCAGGGAGATATTGCGATAAATTTTCAAATATATCCGCCATTTGTTTGTTTTAATAAACATAAAATTTTCTTGTGACGTCAATTCCGTGCGTATGTCCTCATATAGATCATAGCTCTCGACCAATGAAATTGCTCAAATTCTTCTGGTTATTATATAATTGAATATGCTTTGCTCTGGAATTCACATGTCATATATTTAAAAGTGACTTAGCTTTTAATCCTAAAAAATTATTAATTAGCGTCTTTATTTGCTATTGAATTTTAACCTAATTTTAACAAAAGACCACCCAATATTGAATATATTATACTCTTATGTCCACTAGTGTGAAATTCATCCTAAAAAAGTAATTGATACACATTTTGTTAGTAATACCAATATGGTAGTATTTAAATATCAAAATAGCATTTCACTCAAATCTGCCGACTCTGCCATGTAACTGCAATATGTGGAAGAAATTTTGTTCCAAAAAATTTACGAATTGAGATTATAGCAGGCAAGCATAAGTCAACAACCAACAGACACTGTGGAAAGAGTAAATCATGATGGAGTCTTTTTATACATAAGTGTGAAAATAAAGATGTGTGGTGTATGGAAAACTCGTGACATAATATAAAAAAAATTTAAGACATTCGTATCTGGAAATTGGAATTTAACTATTATCATGAAAGACAAGAAAAAGTCTTGAATAAACATGGTACCTTTCTCCTTTTAACAATAAAAATTTCTACAGGTCTTCACGATAATTGAGCTGACTTAGCTACTCCTCCAATGTTTGCAGACGAGTGTATGCTGGTTAAACATTTCACAATGTTTTATACGTGTAGCGTTCTCATTTTTTAAAGGAACATCCGTTTCAGCTCAAAAAAACAAGAAACATAGTATCACTGGTTTACAATAGACTCATTGCGAATCTAAATTGTATTCGCCACCAACTGATACGGTTTTCATGTTTGATAAAGCTATATGACTACTGTAAGCCATGGGCGTAAAGTGAATGTAAATCCTAAAGTAAAGGTCAGTGATGAAGTTGTGTTAATAATTAGCAATTCTGTGAATAAGTTAAATCAAGTAATTGAGCGAAAGTGGCGCACTTTTTTCGGTGCAATCAGCTTCAATGGTCAATTTGGACCATGTTAATCGTACTAGCCGATATAGAATTTTCTCGTTAATTAATGTACTCAATTTAATGTTGCATGTTTCTATTTTAGCAGTTATCATTCAACTCAAAATATAGAATCAATGAGCACATGGATGGTAAGTTCAATCAACTATCTGAACTATGATAGTTTTGATGCAAAAAGAAGAGCAACCATGCACATCCGCCACGTAGT